AAAAAAAAAAAAAAAGAATGGTGGGGGTTTGTCCCTGAGGCCCCGCCCAGAGCTGACACCGTGTGACTCCCCGGATCTCTGTCTCCATTCCCGGAGCTCTTGAGCGAGGAACCCCAGATCTGGCGGATCACCGACACCGCGGGATGAGGAACGCGTGCGCCGGAGAATCTCGGCCCGGCCCGGCCCCGCCCCGCCCCGCCCCCGCGGCGTGAGGCCCCGCCCCGCCCCGCAGCGGGCCACTCCTCGCGAGAGGGCCGCGCCCTCCCGGGTAGGCTCAGGGGCGGAAGTGGGGTGCCGGAAGCTGCCGTTGCCATGGAACCTGCGGAAGACTGGCTGGTGGAATCCCTGCGCTTGTAAATCTTGCGGGCCGGGGCGGGATTCGGGCCTGAAGCGGGCTTGGCGGGCGGGCGCGGGGAGGAGCGCGAGGGGAGCGGTGGTGTGCGATCGGCCGGTGCGGGCCGCGGGGCAGGGCCGCCGCAGAGGACTCCGCCCGGGACGTCGCCTCCCGCTCCTGGGAAACGGCCCCTTCTGTGTGCGCGGGTTGTGCGAGGTACCGGTAATTGCACTGCCTGTGGACGGTAATAAGTGACCAGTTATTTTGCGTCAGCCTCTGAGTTAAATACTGAACACAGTTTATCCTTGATCCCGCACATCAACCTTGGGAGGTCTGGGTGCCCTGGGAGTTCCATTTACAAATGAGGACCGAGGCTTAGGAAAATTGTGACTGGCCTGGTCCCAGTGACACGGGGGACAAAATGTGTAACAAGGTTTGGTCCCGGCCCGCCTGATTCCAGAGCCCGGGTCCCCAGCCACCAAAGCATGCTGCCGTCTCAGATTTCTTTAACAGCCATCAAGTGCCATGACCCGTTGTGACATCGTGTCCCTCTTACGCAGGTACCAGGATTTCCATGCATTCGACCTCTCGGGAGCCACACGCGTCCTTGAATGGACTGGTGACAAAGGTGATATGCCCTGCCTGCCCCCGAAGGGGATGGAATCCCACTCCTCAGGCGGGGACTCAACAGCTCAGCCCAGAGGGACCCAACCCCCTCTTCTGGGAACCTCTTGGTCGCTTGGGGCAATTTCGTGTCCTGTCAGCACATATTTTCGTCGTATTAAGATCTAGATCACTTCCATGCCCCAGTACAAGGTTGCATACCGTTGGCAGAGGAATTTATGTCTGCTTTGGAGGATTTGGGGGACTTCCTAGACCCAGCTTTGTTCCAGAATCTTCCTAGCAGTCTGTCACAGTTACTTCTTCTTCTTCCAGGAGTCTTTGTTGCTGGCTATGAAAGCCTGAAAAAAAATGAGATTCTTCATCTGATATTACCTCTCAGACTTTCTGTAAAAGAAAACCAGGTAACTTGAAATATAAATGCTGAGTGTATGTGTCTACTTTTACTCACTTACTAAACCTTTATGGAGCATGTCTGCTAGATGTCCTGGATACTAGAAAGAGAGACAGGCATGGGGCCCGCCCTTCTAGTCTCATGGAAGAAGGAAAATAGTCACAGAGATAAGTGCCACAGAACGTCCCATGATTTACAGAGCGCTACTGGAGGAAGAGGTCAGTTTTACTTTATTAAAAACAGATGTAGGGGGCCAACAAGGTCAAGAGAGTGGTTGGAGCCCTTAGAATGGTTAAGATCACGCAGGATGAATATGTAGTGTACAAAGAATAAAAGGAGAAGCTGGCCAAAGACACAACCTCAGGGAATACATGTAAGGAGTGGGTAGAGGAAGGCGAACCCACAAGGACTGCCAAAAAGGAATAGTCTTTGAAGTAGAGAGACTCAGAAAAGATCGTTTCGGAAGCCAGGAGGAGAACATGTCAAGAAGAGAAGAGTGGGTAGCTCTTCTCGAATGCTGCCAGGCTCACCTGATGGCAGCCTGGCCTGTGCTGGCCTGGGGGACATGCCCAGCCCAGTGCTCCCACCCTCCCGCATCCCCACCGCTCCTGCTGAGGCCGGAGCTCGCCTAGGCTGAGCCTGGATGGGAGACCCGACTCACCTCCCACCTCACCACTGGCTTTTCCCTTTGCTTTTGTGGCCACCTCCCTTTCCCCTGCTTCCAGCTGCTCACGTGGAGAGCGTAGAGGCCAGTGGCTACTTGCATGGACTTTAGTTAGACAGACTTGGGTTCAGATTCACAACATAATTTCCTGGGTGACCTCAGAAAGGTTGCTTAAACTCTCTGTGCCTTAGTTTTGTCATTTTTTAGAACAGGGATAATTATAGTACCTGTATCACCAGGTGGTTGTAAGAATTCAACATAATGTAGATAAAGCGCTAAACACAGTGCCTAACATAGTGAACACTGGATAATTGGTGATGGTGCTTATGTTTATTGCTAGAAGAACTCACCTGACCTCCAGTAGGAGGTTGGGGGAGAAATGGGGATACGTTAGTTGGCTGATACAGTGCGGCTTGCTTTGATGAAGTTGCTAAGCCTCTGGCTCCTCTAAGAAGGTCTGGAGTATAACACTTGTGCTGAAGTGGAAGCGGCAGGTAAAAGGTTGGGAGGAGGGTTGGGATGTGCCGGAAAGAAGGGCAGCTGTCTATGCAGG